TTAAAAACAAAAAAAAACAACTAACAAAACAACGACCCTATAAAAAGTGATTGGGGAAAATACATTGCATAAATTGTGCTGTTTATCACCAGATAGATGACTGATGATTTCATTACATTTTATTACGTCATCCATCTATCGAACAATGGCATCATGTATATGTACGTAAGTACGTGGTAGTGATAGTGGATAATAAATAGTAGGTACGACCTTGACACTTTCAATATTCTATAAGTACATTTCATCTTAGAGTGTTTATTAGAGTGGACAAAATTTATTTTTATTTTCATTATTATCATTATTATGATTGTTTTTACTTTCTAAAACATTTATTTATTCATCTCTATAAATATGATTTTTATCATTTTTAATATTGTCCTAAATAATCATCGGATATAGTAAATAATCACTCTGTCTAGTTGTAAGCTGTACACTGTAATTTAATATTGAATAGTCGGTATAGAGCATAGAGTATTTTATCCGATAGATAGATAGATAGGTGGCTAGATACTTGTCGAGTGTGAAGCTGCTTTTTTTCTTTGTTTTCGCCCGTCTGGTTTCCTCAGAGTGTTGTTAACTACCTACTCTCGATGTAATTTTGTAATGGCAAATGATGAGTAAGGCATCTACAAGTTTTAGAATGAGTCATTTTAAGTTACCAGATGATGAAATCCTAAAGTCGAAATCATTTTTTTCTTTTTTTAATTATTCCCTTGGGTTCCGAGTCAAACATAGGACTTCAACAACAACAACAACCACTCCACTTTGTTCTATTTTCTGCAGTCCTCTTTAGCTGGCCTAACGATTGTGCACAATATCTGATTTCCTTTTCACACGATCTCCTGCATATCACGGTCCACTTGTCGATTTCCATTGGCATTCCATCCGAGCAATGGCCTGTATTGGTTTATTCCACTGTAGAGTTTCTTATCACTTATTCTTTCTGGTCATTCGGCTGGCCATTTGATCTTCAGTATGGAGCCAACGAAGGCACTTGTTGATAAAAGTCTGTAACTTGGAAATCCTTTTCGTGACACGCTCGGCAAGTTTCTGACTGGCTTGACATTGGTGTTGAAAATCCAAATCTTGCTGTTTATGTTGAGGTGGAGTAGAGATGAATCCAAACTGGTTTCAGGTTGATGAAGACATATCTTGCCTTTCCGATTCTGACTAGCTGGCTGGCTTTGACATCTTTATGCGTTCCGTGTGCGTGTAGTTGAAACGATGCTTCGTGGCCAGGTAAGTGAAGGAATTAACTAGCCTATGTTAAATCTCTCGCGTTGATGTTTATTGGTTCTGGTTGTTTTTGTTGCTGTTGTTGTTGGTTGATTGTCGTCATCACCTCGTCTTCACCTGCTCTATGTTCACCTGGAATCCTGTCTTCGCTGATGATCTGTTCAGCCAGTTTGTTGGTTTTTGTTTGTAATTGTTCGAGTTTGTGTGGCATTAAACATAACTCATCCAGGCGTGAAATCCAGATCTTCTAGAGTTTTGTTGCCGGTGGTGGAGCGTATTCCTATCTCCTCTCTTCCTGTGCACAGTCTTCCTCATAATCGTTTCCACGACAATTAAGAATATCATCGTAGGTAATAATGGGAAGACAGCTAGCTTGTTTTATTCCTGTATTCATTTGGAACGTTTTACTGAGTTTTCCATTGTGGATCGCCTGACACGTGACATTGTCATATAGCGAGCTTTTGAATGGGGTTGATAAAGATTTGGGGAGTGCACGCCTTATAGCTGAAGTAGTTTCCAAATTAGCTGTTGGTCAGCACTGTCTAGTGAAGGCCTTTTCGAAGTTGATGAAATTGAGGCAGAGAGAGAGGTTTGACTTCCATCCCATTCTAGGCTGTGTTCTGTGAGAGGGATGTGTAGAGTTGCAATTTGATGAACACATGATTTGCGTTTCCTGAATCTAGCTTGTTTTGGTGGAGTTCTGTATTCAGTGCTCCTTTCATTCATGACGTGACTTGTTATTTTATTTAGTGTGGACAAGATTGGTATTATTCCACGCCAGTTTTTGTAGACTGAGGTGTAAGTCGCTTTTCTTTGGTAGTTTGACAAGATAGCCTTTCCTACAATCGATATGTACCTTTCCTACTTTCCAAACATTTTACAGTAGTAGTGGCGTGATCACATCTGCAGCATCCTCTGGGTCAGTTTTCAGTGCTTCGCGATGGAGGAATTCCGTCTGGTCCTTCTGCCTTCCTGGCTGGACTTCAGTAGCCTGATTGCATTCAGGATTTCTGCTTTCGTTGGAGGATTTGTGTCCATTGGCGGGTAGTTCTGTGAGTGCTCTTGGTAGTTGTATTTCTGACCGATTCGCAGGCAATGGTCAATTCAAGAGTGTTTTTAAAGTGATCAGCCCATTGTTTTATTTGTTTGTCCTCCTTGGTAATCAGGTTCCCTTTAACATCATTTTATTGTCTTCATCATTTGTGTTGATATCTTCCCAGACAGAGACCTTTTTTCTGATATAATGTTCTGAGGTCTCTTTTGCCTGGACCCTTCCTGTTCTGCTTCAGTTGCCGGTCAGTGTGTTGTGTGATTGTGTTTTTGTCTTTAATAGCACTCATCTTTACTCATCTTTTCTATTGAGTGCAGTGTACAGTGAACTCAGCTTCTCCTCCTGTTCTCTTGTCCATCTTTGCGTTGAGTCATCTCTTTCATTATTATCGTCTCTTCGATTAGCTTCCAGGTAGGTGTCAGTTGAGAGTCATCTCTTGTCCTGTCTTCTTTCTTCCTAGAGCAGTTGTACACATCTGCTTGAATATCACCTTCAGCAGAGAGTTCCAATTTTCTTCCGCATGGGTTTTCTCGTGATAACACGTAGTGTCTCCGACTTTGCTTTGATCTGATTTGTAGTGAAAGCATTCCTTTGTCCTTCAGTTTCTGAATGTTGAACTTGCGTTGTGGCCTGTTTCCAGTTGTTTTCAGGGATTTTGGCTGCACCTTGAAGGTTCCTTGAACTAGATGATAGACTGAGCCTACGTCTGTTCCTCTTCTCGACTTTGTATCCAGCAGGTTGTCTCCACTTAATTGAGATTAATATGAAATCTGTCTGGTTTGTAGTTTGTCCTTCAGGCGAAATCCATGTTGCTTTGTGCATATTCTTGTATTTGTAGACGCTGCCTCCGATCACCAAATCATTGAAAGCGCATAAGTATGCGAATAGTTCTCCGTTCTCATTCATTTCTCCGAATGGAGCCTTTTGACCTATGATGAGTTTTCCTTTTGTATTATCTGCTCCGAGTTGGGCTTGCATTCATATCGACCATGGGGATTATGATGTCAACGTCTGGGATGTTGTCCATTACTTTTTGTAGCTGTCTACAAAAAGTTTCCCTCTTTTCTTATTCCGCTTTGTTTGTAGTATTGTGCATAGCGTTGGATAATTGTGACCTTCCTTCCTTCCTCTTGAGTTGAATCTTGCTGTCATTATCCTTCAGGATGAAATTTATTCCCACTGCATTAGAGTTTTGGCTGCCACTGATGACATCATAATAGCTACTCACTGTCTCAGTGTGCTCCTGATTGTCATCTGGGTGACCAGACCAGAGTAGATTACTGATTCCCGAGTTGAAAATTTTGACACTCCACGCCTATTCCATCTGATCTCGCAGATAAACAACACTTCTATGTCATATCTTCGCATTTCTTGGCTACCTGGACAGCCTTCTCATCTGGCTTGTACATTGTACGGATATTCCATGTTCTAATTCTTATTCTTGTCTTCATCGAGAGAAGACATATTGGCTAGCTGACTGGCTTCCTGAAGGCTTATACCAGCCTGCTGTGTCATTTCGCTTCTCTGATTCCAGCGAAGAATAAGATTTCTCTATGATTTTCTTTTGCATTTTTGATATATTTTCTGTGTGTTGACGTTCCTCTAGCAGTTTCATATGTTTAGTGTTGTGGGGTTGCTAGCTCCGCACCCAACTCTCATTCTTTTCCTGGGCTTGGGACCGGCTAGAAACTAGCGAGATAGTTATCTAGGCGTGGTTAAAATCGTAAAGTCATAAATCACGACTAACTCACAACTCTTTATTTGTTCAGTTGAATTACTTCATCAGTGTCCTGTCTTAGCGCTGATATGTTTATGGCGAAATTAAAGAATCACCCGCTTAAAGAAAAAAATGTAATTATCAATAAACTTTCGTCCTACTGTAGATACACGGATGATATTTTTTTTTAAAAATCTTGCATACGAATAAAATCGATGCTGAGATCCTTCTCAAAACGTTCAGTATGATGGCTCACTGACATGTTGAATTCACATATGAAACAGAGGTAGACAGTGCTTTATCATTTCTTGAAGGCAAGGCTAGGGGTATTTTCTGGTTGACCAATACACTCATTTCGAGTCATTTGTTTCTCCTGCATACAAGGAAATCTTATCACAAACATGATGTGTTGTCGTGCCAGAGAAATCTGCACAACCGACGCTCTTAACGATGAAACAAAGAAAATAGAAAACGTATTATTTGGGAATGGATATCCAGGAGAAATTTCCACTTTTTTTTGCCCTGATCGGTACAGATAAAGATAAAATACCGTATTTGCTAGCTAAAATCGTGTTTTGCAATTACCATAATGTGAATATTCAAATTATGTGTAATGCATTAGTGGTTCGTCGTTAGTACAGTGATAGAATGCTTGCCAACCGTGCTAATAGTCCGAAGTTTGATCCCCGGTCGACGCATTCCCAAACCTCGTTAAACCAGTAATAAGACTGATAAAAGGGAACGTTAGGCATGAAGCTATAGCGACCTCATCCCGTAAAAGCAAACATCAGTGGTACCGAAACTTCAAAGCCCTCTAGCTTGAAGCCCTATGTTCCACTAGGAATGTAAAGAATAAATGGAAAAATGCATTAGGGTGACAATTTTTGAGTTCCACTTTCGTACAGTTGAAAATACAATGACTATAATCTACTTGGTTTCTGTTGTACTGCTTTTTTTTTAAAAAAAATGCGCTTTGTTTTTTCTTTTCTTAATTAGAGAGCATATTGAAAATTTACTACAGAAGCTAGTTGAACTGTTATCTGATCCAATCGGTCCAACTTTATCAACATGGTATGGTCGACCTCCGATACCAAGTAAAGAAATGAATGAAATATGTCGTAATTTATCTAAATTAACTGGTATGACTGGTCATGTTTTACCGGCAAAAATACTCACTGTAAGTTTACTGTTTAATGTAGATAATTGAATTTACACGCTTTCATTGTCTTTGTAGGCGAATTAGTTGTCTGCGGTATTTTTTAACGTAAAGTGCCCCCTCCCGCCAGTATGAATTTTTCTTGGATGTTATAACTGTCTCTCCTGATGTTATTGAAGCTGATTGGTTGTCTTTAGGGATTTATTTGTCCTCTTTGTCATGTCTTTTCGAGTAGAATGTCGTGATTAGGCACTAATCGCACTTACACAGCTGTGTAAGAGCTTTTATGAAGAGTTGTCATTTGAAGTGATGAAAACCAGCTGTGTTCATCAACTGTTTCCATTTTCGTACATTTTTCTCATCGCTATGCCAAGGTAGTCCTGTTGACTTAGAGTATGTGGATGATATTGTCCGCCGAGATGGAGACACTGGTAAATTCCTGAGTTTTCTGAACATCTTGAGTGGAAATCTTTGAATGTCAGGCATTCGATTGACTCCTATCCAATGTAAGATGATGCAACAAGACTCTTACTTAAAATTAGACAGTAAATCGGTAAGGCGTGTCGACCATTTCACTTATATAAGAAGTTGCATTACTCTCTATGCGTCGATAGGGCCAACGAAATCTTAGTATGCATAAAAAAGGCTTGTGTGGCATTTGCCAACTTACGTCATCTCTGTTGTAGGTATGACATTCGACTATTGATCAAAGTACATGCTTATTGAGGAGCACCAGTTCTCTGTAAGACATAGATATCTGTCTCCCTTTTCAGATGGCATTATATGTTGAGTAATATTGAGGCTGGGTGTGTCGAGTATTAGGTAAGGAGTGAAAGTCAGTTGGCGAGGTTGTGAGTCATATCGGTTGAGAAGTTTAGCACATGTATTACACGTGCACATGTCTAGCCATCGCCTTCCTCGATGGACAATGTTAACTGACATAAGATCAAATTAGAAAAAAGTTAATTTAGAACGGATATACCTTGTTACTACTGTATATGGATTTGGCACCATTTCACACATACTGTCCAGCCATTGAATTCCGATATCCTGATGAATCTAGTTGTGCGTCTGTTTGGGGGTACATGGTTCGGGTCGATCCTCGTCCGGGGACGCACTCCTCTACCTCGCTAAGCCAGAAATAATGCCGGCAAAGAGAAAAGGTTGAGCATGAGGCTAGCAACCCCATCCTGTAAAAATAAACACTGCTACAGAAACTTCAAGCCACTAGCTTGAGGCCCTATGTTCCAGTGGGAACGTGAAGGAAAAAAAAGGATCTAGTCAACCAATTTTCGCTTTATTGAATGACCTAGACTAACAGTCAGGGATTACTCATCTACCTTATTTTGCCTCCTCCGCTCTAATCGCCTTAAATGTTTTTCAAATCAATAGATTCCTATCGCGTAGGAGATTTCTCTGTCTGTTATTCGATTGTAGTTTATCTTTGGTTTCCTACCTTTTTCTTCTGTATGCATAAACATATTTAACATTGTCATATCTACTGACTTCTTTCCCCAAAACTGGGGTCGACCCGGTCTAAGACATATTCGTATTCATTGCGCCTTTCGAGCTAGCTTCATAACTTCTATGAGCTATGTTCAATTGGGATCGTAGGATCATGCACTACACTATAGCAGTCACAAACAATAGATTTGAAACAGTTGTCAAGTGTCCCTTGGTGTGTTGGTGTTGGTGTTGTAATAATTTTCTGACAGATGTTAGTTAGTTGATGGCGAAATCTGCTATAAAAATAAATGTCAAAATCTGATTATCGTTTTGTTTGTTTTACCGTAGAAAAAAACACACAAAACACAACAAAAAACAATATTTAGTTTATATTGTCTATGTGATATATAAATTATTAGCGCTATATTTATTTCCCCCCAATAATTATTATATATATATATGTAAAGGACTTAGTTTTTATCACAGATGTTCTACTTTATATTTACTTTATCTTATAGCTATATAGCCATGTTGTGTTTATTTGCACAGTCTACTATTCATTTATTGTCTTAGATACTTGGCTTGGTTTTTTCGAGTTATTCTGTAGGACGCTACGTCCCTCTTCCTCATATTCTTCCAGATTTAGACACACATCATTCACTGTGTCTAAGATTGAAACTGTAACTGTGAGCGCTGAATTCCTGTTTCTTTTACCAGATCAAAACTCACTGACTGTCGAAATATATACCTAGAAATAAATAATGCTGTAATTAAAGCTTAAATAGATTGCCTAACGGATTCAAAATCTACACTGTTTAATATATGTGCAAAACTTGAGCACTGTGGTAGTAAGCAATTCAATATTAGTTTGTTTATTAGATGGATATATCGCACAGGGGAACAATATTATTTACTGGATGACGTTTCGAACAAAATTTATTATTGTTCATAATCATATCATCAATTATGATCACACGACTTTGAAACTTGAGTTTTATAGTTTCTTTGTCTTCTTCTATTTGTCGTCGTAGGGGTAGTAGAATTTTCCAGATGTCCAACTGGACAGGTGTTGAATCATTCCTATTACATGTATTTCCAGTTGATTCGATAAACAAATCTCCCCTTATCATATCTCCCTCCACCTAGCTGTGACATTCGATTTTGCAGCTGTCATTTTATCCCACCCATCCTATAGTGTGGTTGTGTGTAACTGCATGTAGTGAGTTGGTACGGCTGAACTATTCTCTAGATTTCTTATCTTATTCAGGTCAACTAATCCGGATTTTGCTGCTAGGTTTTTATGCTCGACTAGTCTGACTGAACTTTGTATTTGGCCTGACAATCATTGTAGGCAGTGTATAAGATAAACTAAATTATTTTGTTTTAAAGGCTCCACAAGATTGATTATTTAACCGACAAAGCTTGTTTCTAATTGAGTTTGTGAGTGGTTTGAATGCCGGTCATTTTTATGCTGCCTGCCTCGTTAAGAATTGTGCGTAAGGTGGTTTCCGAGGTTCCTTCTTTTATGGAATTACTACTGATGATTTAGATTCTTTATTGTTGGTGTTGTCTTGCACATGTTTGACATGCATGTCGTCATTAATATAACAACCTACTATTATTATCACTATCACTACTATCATTATTTATTTTATTTTTAGATTTCCTTAGTAGTTTATCAGGGAAATTATTAAGTTTCATGGCTCTTCTTATATGCCTCACTTTCTGTCTTAGATTTTCTTTGGTACTACTTAGTTTTGTGCTCTATTACTTTAACATCTCACCAATCCTATTTTTACTGACAGGGATGATGGGAAATCCAAATATTTGTTTGAATGTGTGGGTTTCCTGTTAAACACTATTGTTTAACTTCCCTTCTTCTTTCCTTTTTACACTGCAGTCTAACATTGGAAGTTCCCCTTCCTGATTTTCCAATTCATGAGTGGAATGAATTGCCTCTACCTTCGAGTTGATGTGTTAAAAAAACTATCTATATCTTTTGTTCTGAGTACAGTGAATGTGTCATTTATATACCTTCACTATACTTTTGGGGTGGGGGTGAACATTTTAACCGCTATCTTTTCCCACCTATCCATGAATATATCTGCTACAACCGGGGTATTAGTGACCCCATGGGGACTCCCTTGGTATGTTTATATTTTCCCCTAGAATTTAAAAACTGTGGAAGTCACCCATAGCTGCGCTTCCAGCAATATGTCCTTAAGTGTCACTTTCGTGCTACGTTTGAGTTTTTGGTCAGAAATGAGTTCTTTTCGGACTGTCTCTATCACCATATTTCTTGGTATACTTGCATAATAAACTGACAATATGAAAACTAACCATTTTTTCTTCATTATCTAACTCTAAATTATCTAATCAGTGTCAGATTCGCCTGAAAATCAATGCATCATGTACACAAGTCGGGGTTGGGTCAAGGGGAGGGGGGGGACGGGTATAGTATAATAAGGTCGATTTCGTCTTTTTTTCTTTTACACATCTTCATCATTTCAAACTATTACTGTCGTTAACTAAACCTGCTAAGCTTTAATGTCATATTTCTGTTACGGTTCATGTTTGGTTCTTTTTTTTGTTTTTTGTAATTTGTACAATCGAAAAAAGACGCCTTTCATGACATTGTCAGATCCCTTCCGTTTTTTTTTTTTTGAATTTCTGTCGACAGGATTGTCTTTTTAGTAAACTAATTAGGTATAATGTAGGCTTCAGTGCCAACCAATGTAGGATAGATTATGTTCAATACAGTGAATGGAGTTTTGACCAATTCTCTCTCTCTGTCTCTATTTAATATGATCATAATGATTAATATTCGGATGCGAATGTAAATAAGCTGTTTCGTAAGGATTTCGGATTGTTTCACTTTTATCTATGTGGTGTTTCTTACAGTTTGCGTCATACATTCTGGTGTGTTGGTCTATGATATATACTACTTATTTATGATAATCAGCTTGTGTTTGTGTGTGTGTGCTTAAAATGTTCTTTGTTTTTTTCTCTTTTCTTTTGTTCTAGTCGATTCTGTTACGCGTGCATAATGAGTTAAAAGTTCACTTACGTCATCGTATCAGTGAACTTGGCATAATTGCTGATGGTGGACCTCAACAAAGGTAAGTAGAATTTCGACCATGACTCATTATTTTCAATCCTTTCATGATTTATTAGAATTTTGATTAAAATAAACTAGGAGCTAGTAGGGGGTGAGGAAAGGAGGGTCAGGAGCAGGGGAAATCAAATTCATCATTTTTAGATAGTTTATAATGATATAAATCACTGCAGTTAGTCAGTGGTGTCCGTCAGGGATGCCCATTATCCCCATTTCTATTCAATTTCATCATAGATGTACTAATGGATTTAACCCTAACTCACTTCAGAGACTCAGGGATTGACTTGCTACCACCAGGGAATAATCTCGCTGACTTAGATATATGCAGACGACATAGTCCTTCTAGGCAAGGACGCTGACAAAATGCAGAGTCTTCTGAATACCTTGAGCTGCAATCTGCGAATGTTTGTCATGCGATTCGCTCCCACCAAATGAAAGATGATGATGTTACAGGACTGGACTACACTGACTCCTAGTTTAGAAATAGGAAGTGAAGTGGTTGAGGACGTTGACTGCTTCACTTATTTGGGAAGTACCATCAGCCCCAATGGGTTGATCTCTGACGAAAATTCCAGCTGAATACGGATACAGAGGGCTCGTTTCGCATTTTCCAGTTTACGTCGTCTCTGGCTTAGTAGACATGATATCCGGCTGGCTATCGACCAGAGGGCGTGTGTACTGCTCATCAGTCCACCCCGTCCTCCTTTATGGCTATGACACCCAACCATTGACAGTGGAAGACATGAAAAGGTTGTCTAGCTGTCTTTGATCATAGGTGGCTGGGTTCTATCTCCCGTGTGAAGTGGTATAATAAGGTGATCAATATTGAGGTTAGGCCTTAATCGAGTGGTAGTTAGTTGGGAGGGGAAATCAATCGACGAGGCTGTGCAGGTACATCGAATGAGATGGTTAGGACATGTGTTACGTACGCTTAGTCACTGCCTTCGTCAACCGACTGGCAATGTTAGCTGACATAGGGTGGATCAGGTTGGAAAATAGCTAGCTAGCGGCGGTCAAATCAACACATGGCACAAGTCAATGAACCAAAAGTTAGTTTAAGCTAGCCACGTAGGAAGGTGTAGACTTCCTGACTGGTTGGGGTCCACGGTACGGTAAAAGCCAGTAGCTGGGGACAATTGATGGTATGGCTCAAAATCGTTCTCAATGTCTGGCGCAGATGCATACAGTCCTTGTGACTTATAATAACCAATGAAACTATATCGTTCTTCGTTTTTACTATTCCTATTGTCCCATATTCTTGTCTACTGTCTCTATTATGCATTTCTTCTAGTTTCTTCTCTTGGTTTGTGTGCTACAAGGAGGGAGTGTGGCGACCTGAACTGGTGCACATGTGCAAAGTTCTATGTCGAAAACAGACAGACAGATTACAATTAGTCATCTTTAGAAATCAAAAGTAATTAATCTGCTTAGCACTATAAATAGGAGTCAATAGAGTAAACTACTGATGGATGTCAGTGGTGTAAAAACCAAATCAGCGCCAAACAGTAGTCATTTCTCAATTGGATTAAAGTGGTTGTGATGGTTATTTCTCATCTTGAAGTGTGCATTTAGAAATTGATGAATTCACTTCTATGCACCAGTCGAACCAGTAGTTCGAATTGACTCACCTCTCTGAGCTTCGTCAAAACTGTGTACATATTGTAGATGAGCTCGGCTCCAAACTACCGAAACAGTCGTTCGGTGGTAAGATGACTTCGTTCTGATCTAGCTAGTAAGTAGTATTGTTTCAGTGGTGAATGGTCCCAGTTATCGCTATCTGTCATTAATTTAATAATGATTTTTTTTTTGAAGTATTGAAGTATGCGCTGAAGATGTCACCCAGTAGGGCGATGAAAGCTTCGCAAACTAACCATCCATCTCAGAGAACAAAACCACATCAAAATTATCCACCTGAGCTACAAATCTTCTCTATCATATCTAATAATGATTTTGTTAGTTGAAGAATGGTTAGAGTTATATGGTCATATGATTCCTGTCTAGAAATTGAACAAAAGTCTGCTCACTTCAACAGCTAGTTAGTTTGTAATCAACCTGTTGTGGAATTCAGGGTACTGATGGCGAGTTTCAGATTGGATGGTAGATAAGGTTGAATATATATATATATATATATATATATATATATATATATATATATATGGTTTTTTTTTCAACTGTTAGATTTCATCATGAACCAACCCTCATTTACAGAAATCGTTTTGTAAACCGGGAACTACTTGATAGCTGTTCTGTTAATTTAAGTAAACATCTGCAGTGTGCATCTACCATCCCCTCAGGAATCGATGTCATTCAACGGCCTCCGCAGTGGTGTATGCCCAATCAATCCATCTCCAGTTTCTGTTACATATTTGTTGAGCAGTCGGCTCTTGGTTGGTTTGTTCCACTGCAGAGTTTCTTGCTGCCAATTTTTTCTAACTGGTCATTTGATCATCAGTATGGAGCCGACGAAGGCAACTGTTGATTAAAGTCTGCAACAGGCTGTTGGGAATCTTTTCCGTGACACGCAGTGCAAGTTTCTGACCTGTATGGAAGGACCGGCTTGATATTGGTGTTGAAAATTCGAATATTGTTGTTTATGCTGAGGTGGAGTGCAGATGACTCCAAACTGGTTTGAGGTTGATGAAGACATATCTCGCCTTTTCCGATTCCGACTGGCTTTGGGGATGGTTGTTGTTGGTTGATTATCGTCATCACCTCTTCTTCACCTGCTCTATGTTCACCTGGAATCCTGTCTTCGCTGATGGGCTGTTCAGCCAGTTTGTTGGTTTTTGCTTGTAATTGTTCGAGTTTGTGTGTCATTAAACATAACTCATCCAGGCGTGAAATCCAGATCTTTAGAGTTTTTTTTATCGGTGGTGGAGCGTATTCCTGTCTCCTCGCTCCCTGTGCACAATGTGACACATAATCTGGTTCACGACCATTAAGAATATCATCTGTGATAATAGAAAGCCCTGGTTTTCTCCTGTATTCACTTGGAACGCCTCAGTGAGTTTCCCGTTGTGGATCGCCTGACACGTGACATTGTCATATAGCAAGCTGTTGAATGAGGTTGATAAAGATTTGGTGAGTGCACGCCTTATAGCTGAAGTGGTTTTCAAATTAGCTGTTGGTCAACAGTGTCTAGTGAAGGCCTTTTCGAAATTGATGAAATTGAGGCAGAGACAGAGGTTTGACTTCCATTCCATTCTAGGCTGTGTTCTGTGAGAGGGATGCGTAGATTTGCCATTTGATGAACATATGATTTTCCTTTCCTGAATCCACTTTGTTGTCGTAGATGGCGGATTTCTGTATCGAGTGCATCCTTTATTCTCTTTTAAGATGATGTTACTTGTATTTTTACTTGGTGTGGACAAGATTGGCATGATTCCACGCCAGTTCTTGTAGAAGCCTAAAACATCTATCTATATCTATATATATTCTTCCGACCTGCATGATAGACATTTGACAATCGCTTGTTTTCTTCATATTTTATAATACACGTGTATAGTAATCTTATCATGTACACAATGTCTATATACACGTGACTGTCGATTATTTACTCATAATAAGCGTAATCATATGCTACTTTATGATCATTCTGTTTACACTGTATATAATAAACTACATCGTCCCACAAGTTAAATAGCTCTTTAGACTGAATTTCAGAATACTTGATGTAGTGTGTTGCGTGTTGGAATTGACATTCATGAATTCTTGCTCCAGTTCAACTGTTTGTGACTTTCTGAATTCTTTAATCGACTAGTAATACTGGGTCCTTTGTGTAAATATACAGGGCTTGTTTGTTCATTTTTCATTAGTTTTAAGGATAGATGGCATCCATGTTCCCTTGGGCAGAATGCTTGTTAACCACTCATGTGGTCCGATGTCTAATCCCCGGCCAACGCACCTCTAAACAACGCTCAGCTCTTAGTAAAGTGTGTAAAAAGGGAACACTGAGCTTTAGGCTAGCAACACCAGTGCGTCGGTGGCACAGTGGTTACGATTCTCACCGATCCTGCACATGGTCTGAGGTTCGATCCGCTGCCGACGCACACCTAATATCTATGGTCGGCCTGCAAAATTTGGGCCACCTATATCACATGCTGAAAATTCCATACTTGTACCTAAAAAATACGGTATGGAATCAAGCTGTAATCAAAATAAAAATTAAAGAAATTCCTGTAAAAAGAACCACTACTGTTATTGAAACTGTTATGTTCAAGCCTGAAGCCGTGTGCTCCATACTTTGAACGCAAAAAAGGAAGAAGAAAAAGAAGGAGAAATTTCATAGACGATAATGTATCTAATCGAATCGCTCTGTGATTCACTTTTTCACCGAGTGAGTAATAAATAATACCGAAGTTAACTCAAAGCTACATGTTACATGTGTGTGTGTATAGGAGCGTCGTCACCGTTCAACTGAAAGCTCAAATGAAATTGCTCTCTAAAGAAGTCAGTTGTATTCATTACTAGTGTGAAATATTCCCGTATTATGAATTAAAAGTCAATCTGAACGAAGAATATCCTTTCCAATAATTTCTCGTCTTCAGGTTTTTACAATTATAAAAATATAATATTTGTGGTCATTACAATAAAGGCCAGTTATGCAGCCGATACATTTTTAACGTAGAATAACAGATTAGTTATTGTAGGGTGTCAAAATAAATAGTCGTATTTGTGTGACAAACGTGCTCTGGGCTCCTTGATTTTCAATTATCTTTCTAACTGATGTTAGTTCACAGCGTAAACTACATTGAATATTTATGCGACTATTTTTTTAAATATATTTTCTGTGTTCTGTGATCAGTATTGAGAATGCTTTGGGTTCATTTCTGTCACCTTTGCAAGCAAAAATGTTTGTATAGGTTATTTTTTTTCATTATCTTACTAGCTATCCTTGTTTTTGGTTATTTTCTAACGACTCTACGAGTGAAATTGGTTTCTTATTTAGAATATTTATTATTTTTTTCTAATTAGTCTAGTAGACTGACTGACTGGTCAGTGAACACCTTGTGAAATAAAATCACATGACTCTATTAATGTGTATTGACACGTTAAAGTTGTTTTGATATATGAGTTTAATTTGCACCCTTTTTCGCTGAAACATTGTACAACATTTAGGCGAAAGGTATATTACCGGAAGTTAGTTAATTATAGGATGGTGACAATATACATACAAATAAGAATAAATTGATGACTCTTTTATTATTTCAGACAAATTTTTCTTTAGCAATAAGTTTACTTAATGGATGATTATTTTTTCAAGTAGAAAAAAAGTGGATAATAATGATGAGTGAGATTCATTGAATCATTTTCAACAAATTTGTTTAAATACTACTTACACAGATTGATAGGTACTTAGACATACCGATAGATAGATAGACAGACAGACCAGACTACACGTCATTCTTTTTTCTATAGAGGTGTAATTAGGTGATTCTATTGTGTGTGTGTGTGTTTGCAATTCCTCATTGTGAATCTTTATTATCAAGTATTGGTTTTGTAGAGATTTTGTTTGATTGGATGGAGTATTTCATCATGAGCTGACAACAGTTAGAGAACCATTGGAAAAGCGGCAGTAGGGTACTGGACAACCGTTTCGTCCTAGTTTCGGACTCTTCAGAAGTGCACACCCACCACAAAAGGGCCGGAACCCAGGACCACGTAGACCATTGAGCTACTGGGACCCAATCCAATGGCCAGCCCATGAATTCTAACTTCCACCAATTCACGACTGTATCCTACTGGTCACGGCTTCCCGCTAGAATCCCAGGTCACTGCCTAAATAGGGCATGTCGCTAGTGCGCATCAGATTAACTAGGACGAAACAGCTATCCAGTACTCCCAGGTTTTCCAGTGGTCTTCTAACTGATGTCAGCCCATGATGGAATCCTCCATGGAATCTTTAATACTGGTTAGAGAATTTTAGAAAGCTATTCTGTTCTCTCTCTCTCTCTCTCTCTATATATATATATATATATATATATATATATATATATATATATACATTCTGTGTGTAGTACAGTCTAACTAAGATCGTCGTTTCATTTCCGATAAAGTTCACAATAGACAAGGACAACTATTTAGTGATGTTTTAAATTTTATACTGGCAGCATACTCTTAGAAAGTCATCAAGTACTATCACACACCAGGCCATCGCTCAAGTGGAACCTGAGTGGGAAGCTGCGAGTTGGTCCTCAGTGCTAGGGTGAGATGGAGGAGGTTATGTGAAGAGAGGAGATGAAAGCATGTGGACAGACGTGGAGTCAGGTTACAAGGTTGGCGGAGAAATAAACCTAATCGAGATGTGTGACTGAAGTCCTATGTTCCTCTAGTAGGAACTAAAAGAGATAATAATAATTATTATTAGTTAATCTATATGATGAATTAGTATGTTCATTACTCGAGTAAACATATTTCATTTATTTATGAACGAACGAGTTGCTTTTTATAGAACACCGGCGACCCAGTAGTAATTTCGCATTGGGGTTTCACTAGAGCGATGGCCTAGTGCGCGATATAATTCGACAGTTTCCTTAGCGTGTCTGAGTCTAATTCAGCCATCGAGTTTTGATTAAATTAAGAAAACAGTATTGCCTAGAATTAACCATTATAATTCTAACACTATGATGAAATAAAGGACTGTTTCACACATGAATATGTTAAACTTCGCTGGGTGGAGAAATATCCTATGGTCTATATTTTTCCCCCCTTCATTCTTTACATTTCAGGTTGGACATGCACCTTCAAACTTTAAGTTTTCAGTGCCGGTTATGACGTTGTTTTTACAGTGTAGAGAGTTGCTAGTCTCACATTCAACCTTCTGTCTTTTCCTGCCTTAATACAGTCTAATAAACAAGATAAAGTTTAAGGAATACATTGACCGAGAGTCGACTCCAGATCGCTCCGCGTTACTGAAGACCACTCCCCCTCAGAATAAGCCATACACTCTGTAGAATACTTACAGAATTCAATATGTTATTATTTGTTTCTAGTTCAGTTGTGAATTTCCCGTTTTGTTGACCGTTTGGCCGAAATGTTTGACCTGTCTCGATGTGTATATATCCGCTTCTCCTAGTACACGGGCGGTATCTGAGGATTAACTTGAAGTAATTTAGTGAGAGTGGAATTCAGAATGTGCATTTCATCCTACTTAGTACTCGTCGCTTACATTCCCCGGTCCCCTACATGGCCTACGTGGTCTAGTGAATAGCGCTTTGAAATAATGGTTTTCAGTGTCTGAGTCTTATTGGGTGGGGGGGGGGGGAACATTATCATCCAGTGGAGAATGCAGGTGCACCCGGCTGATGAATCCTAGGTTGGAGGGAATTTGAATCCTGGATTCCACTGTTAGCCATCTAGTCTACCACCGATCGACCAAACAATAAATCATCTTCCCTATTGTAATGATTATGTTTTATTTTTATAATTAAATCAATTTAAATAAAAGTATCACTCACAGATTTGTTCACTGAACACTAGTCAGTTAACTGATTCATCCCTTTTGTTTCTCTCTCATTCATTTGTTTCATTAGCCTGGTCGATTCAGAGATGCTTCATTATATTGATCATTTACAATCGCTTACACCACAGTTGAATAAATTTGTCGATGATTGTTCTGATATTTGGCCTTCATATGGTGAGTAATTATTGACAAGTGAATTCTTCTCCGTCATCACCTTCTTTTGACTGATGATGTCGATGATGATGATGATGATGATGGCGGCGGTGGTGTCGATGCTGTTGGATACTGAAGAAGAAGAAGAAGAAGAAAGATGATGAAACAGATGAAAAAGAATCTCTTCTTCCATATATGTGTGTATGTGTGTATGTATGCATGTATGTATTGTGTATAATATTATTTGTTCATTCAGAATAAAGGATTGGCAGGTGGATAATCAAGTGTGTAGAATAACGCGAATTTCGTTCACCTTGTGTCTTTCATTAATTATCTATCTATCTATCTATTTATTGTGTATTTTCTACTTTCTTTTTTATTAATTCACTTATACATAAATATTACGTATGCATAAAAAAAAATTAGGTGAGTCTTTCATTTCTTTGGCGTTCATCCTTCCAGTGAATTTGCTCAAAGTTAAGAGACAAAAATAATGAGCGGTAAAAATAAAAGTCTGAACACTCTTATTTCCTTTTCTCTGTGTATAAATAAGTCTACGCATGTATTTGTGTTTGTGTGTTTGTTTGTGTGCGTGTGTGCGTTTAATGTGTTTTTGCGCATAATAAAAGTGTTTCAATGCTGATATATATATACCTTGTCTTCTGTTTTTTTGTTTCTGTTGACGGTTTTTGTAATTCTTCTTTGCTCTATTCTCTCCTTCACCCCCCTCTCTCTCTCGCTCTGTTTCTGTCTCTGTATGGTATGAGGATTTGTAATGTTTTCTTGGATATTATGATGATGCACTCATGTGTTTTCCTTCTTCTGTTTCTTCTGTGGTTGTTTCAAAGGAAATCTGAAAGACTTTTTGACATCTTTCATGGATGGATCCTTTGTGTTTCCAAGTATATATTGTGATCATCATCAGTCTTCACTTTTGAAATAAATTTGTTAAGATAACAAGTAATCTTTAAATTTTCATGATTTAATAAATGCCATCTAGTGCATCGGCGGCTCAGTGGTAGAGTGCTTGCCAACCACGCCGGTGAACTGAGGTTCGATCCCCGACCGACACACTCCCGAGCCTCGCTAAGCCAGTAATGAGACGAGTAAAGAGGGAAGGTTGGGCATGAAGCTATAGCGACCCCATTCTGTGAAAATAATCACCAGTGCTACAGAAACTTCAAGCCTTTAGCTTGAATGTAAAGGAATGTAAAGGAATAAGACAAAAAAAGAACTGCCATCTTAATACACAACCTTTAAAATGGTTTATCTAAAATTCATATGAAGGATTTGAGTTTATGAAAGTTTGGAATTACTATCTACGAACTGAATTTCCAGGATTGATAATGAGCTGACGTCCGTTAAAGAACCACTGGGGAATCTATTATGCACTCGTCGCCAAATTATTGTTATGTACTGGTCGAGAATTTAATAGTCCTGACGCAAGAAAGACGGAAATCAGAAGACCACTAGGTTTGCGATGATACTTCTATTTTCCAAACACAAGGAGAATCAAATATGTCACACAAGAGTGTGAGAGCAAAAATATATATGAATGTCCGAACAAGTGTGTGAACAAATCAATAGACAGTCTTAACATGATTGGCTAATTATAATGGAGTATCGATCCATATATACATAGCAAAATATATTAGACTTTCAGACAAACACACATATTATATGGATATGTATATCACCAAGAACAGACTGTCAACAAACACACATATTATATATAATATAAGGGGGATATACACTGTTAAAGGAGACAGTTTCATCAAAGTGAAATGGTCACAGACTAAGAGAGCAACAGAAAGAGAGACCACCATACACACTGTATATATATATATATATATATATCAGAATCAAAGGGGAAATGGACGACTATTTCGTCAGCCTGGTTTAGGACTCTTCATCATTACGCAACCGCCGCCAGGTTCGAACCCAGGACATTGCGGTTATGAAGACAGTGATCGTAGAACATTCATCCACTTGAATCTGACCCAATGGTCCATGAAATCTCAACTTTGGCCAATTCATGATGTATATTTAGCGTAACCTCCAGCAGGGTATCACAGGCGAATAACTGTCCTTTTGGCTGACTTGATGAACCCCCTAGTCTCAAACTAGCACGAAACAGCTGTTCAGGACTCCCAGGTTTTCAAATGTTCCTCTGACAGCTATTGACTTATTATCAGTCTTGCGACCAATCGAATCCTTGTAAACTAAAACTTGATGACTATATATTTTCATTGGGAAGTAGGCAGTAACTAATGTTATGCATCTAGTCCTTAATGTTGGTACAAACTGAGGTCTGTCCCTTTTGAGATTCAAACCTTGGTCACCCAGTTCTGAAGTCAAAAACGTTACCATTACATTAGTGACTATCTAGTGTTCAATCAAAATACCCATTACAGTCCTACAGAAGGTTAATGGCGACCTCGAACAGCTGAGTAGTAACGTTTGTGACTGTAGCATTGGGTGGTGACACGGATTCGCATCTCAGAAGGGGTATGATTGATTCCCTTCAAGATTGCAAAAAACATCTTACTAAAGAGTGTCAAGAAGCATGCAACTTAAATGCAAGGCTTTCTGGCGACTGCCTCCAACTCCTTAACGACTAAAAACTATGTGTCACACTTAAGTTATGACGACGCTTTTTGTGAAGTCAGTTAACTGGCTTTACGAACCAAAAATCTGGTATTCTGTAGAAGACATATTTGCTGTGTTTGTGAGGCTGGCAAACTGGATCTTAGCGGTGTGTCATTCGCGTGATTACAGTGGTAAGACTGCGCACACAATGCTTCATGTGTCTGGAAATTCTCACATGTGTGTGTGTGTGTGTGCGTTTGGCATTAAGTTCTGCGACTTCAAGTGGACTGCTCAACTCGATTTCAGTCGATTATCAATGTTTGGTCAAATGGTGACCATAAGGACAGAGAGATCTTCTAATTTCTGCCTATGGTATGGTATAAAGAATAACGTGTACTTCAATATACCAACAATTTAAGGATCTTAATATATTATATTAGACAGAATTTTTGGATTCTTAACTTTGCGAATCGATAGTCGCTATGTTTAAAAAGTCAGCCATTTCTAAGCAGTAAACCTTTGAGTTATCAAAATAGATATTGTCTGAGATGATGGTCGTTCAACTCTGTAATGGGGAATCCCGCTATTGTTTCTGTTGGCTAGGTACAACAGAGAACTAACTGTTCATATTAGAATCCATATTTCGGTAGTAAACATGCTAGAGGCCGTTAATTCATGAGTTTTCAAGTATTGGTTCTGTAGGGATTTTGTTTGATTTTATGGAGGATTTAATCATGAGCTGACATCAGTTAGAGAACCACTGGAAAACCTGGGAGTACTGGACAGCTGTTTCGTCCTAGTTTGGAACTCCTCAGCAGTACGCACCCACCACGGGGTTCGAACCCAGGACCTTCTGGTTACAAGGTGAGCTCGTAGACCGTTGAGCCACTGGGACCATCACTAGCGACTGGCCCTATTCAGGCAGTTAACCTGGGGTTCTAGTGGGAAGCCGTGACCAGTAGGGTACAGCAGGTCGAACATGAGGCAGTAACTCATCGAAGAAGACATTGTGAAGTGGTCCCACTATGTCGTGAATTGGCAGAAGTTAGAATTCAAGGACCATTGGATCGGGTCCCAGAGGCTCAATGGTCTACGAGCTCGCCTTGTAACCAGAAGGTCCTGGGTTCGAACCCCGTGGTGGGTGCGTACTGATGAGGAGTCCCAAACTAGGACGAAACAGCAGCTGTCCAGTACTCCCTGGTTTTCAATGGTTCTGTAACTGATATCAATCCGTGATCAACTCGTAATAACATAACTAACCCTTACAAACCTAACTATAGAAAAATAAATGGGATATGGTTATTTATTTGAAGTAGTACAATCGCTTTCCTAGTCTTGAAGAAGTTGGACATCATCTTCAGTCAGCACGAAAACACCGGTAGATGCTATTTCTGATGCTCACAAGGCCTTGTTTAAGCGGTACTAACTACCAATAAGTGAACGACCTAAAATGGTCTAATGAGGACCGTGCATGAGAGTTCAAGGTTGTATTCCGCTGAATTCATATCAAATGCTTGCTCTAACGAACCTACGCTTGCAGTTCGATGAGGATAAGGTTTTGTAGTATTGTCTGGACTTGGGGTTGCTTAAGAAGAGAGGGTCTGTTCATGTGGAGGTGTCATGAGTTTAAAAGCTTTAGCAGGTCGATTCATGGATGTGTTCATCGTTGTGCAATTTGCTTGGGATGAGTTAGTATTAGGGAAGGTAAACTGATAATTTTAATATTTCGTAGCAACATTTTTCGCCAGGTCGCATTTCTCCTTAACCCAGATTCTGTATATTTGTAATTACTGGGTTTCAAAACAGCCTGTGAGAGGCGCAGCTGCTGAAGCTGAAAATTGCCTTGTGTTAACAATTTAGTGGCACCAGCACTGCAGAGACATCGCCTCACGGAAATTGAGAAGAGTTACTTCGCTGTTGGGTGGAGAAGGTGTCGTCGTACACGTGGGAAAAAACTGTCTTATTGAAGAAAAAATACAACCGTGGTCGTGAGCGAGCCAACATTGTTTGGGTGATCGGTTTATATGACGATTTCCAAGAAAATATCGCGTCTTACCTTCTACATCAAGAAGTTAAGACTTTCTGGTGTAACCCAACCCTTACTCCTACAATTTGTTAACTCCCGTATTCTGCCTATTATTCTCTATTGTTCCCCCTTAGTCTTTCCTGGGCTATTGAAGAAAGACTATACCTTATTACGTAGGATGTTAAAGGTTGTCAGCAGGGTAAGCAGTTTGCCACTTAGCCAGCTCGTTAATATTCTGGTGGACAGGCACATGGACTCATGTGAGAAATGGGCTAAATCCATTTTATCTGACTCACAACACCCTCTTTATTCACAACTCTCCCCATGTATCTCTTCAGGGAAAACAAGAAGCCTATATAGGAAACTATTTGCCCGCACTAGCAAGTACAAAAACTCATCCATACCCTACCTAGC